AGTTTATATGCGTATGTGACGAGTGCGCGTGCGCATTCGTAGAATGCATAATTTGAATTATTTCACACTTGCATACTATATGCTCACATACACATGTAAGTACGAAAACTAGCAAGCGTATGTGTCTCTATGTACTCGTATAACATAAATGATTTTTATTGTTTTTCGTGTTGCCATTGGCAAAATACCCATGGCTTGTGGACACTTTATGACAATCTTTGCAATCGCAAGTTTAACGTCATTCATCCATTTTGTTGTTGTTGTTGTTGTTGTACTATATACCTATGTCGGTGTTTCTACGCAAATGTGAACGACGGTGTGCGACGCTGAGTGCTCGACGCACGTGCCGGTATTTGCATTTGCCAAAAGTAGGCAAATTAAATAAAAAAATAGACACGTATTTCGGAAATCATACCCATCACCGCACTAAAAATAAGGTCATGAGCTATATATTGTAATTTTTCAATAAAAATTTATGATTTTGAAACCAAAATTAGAAATTATATTTTGGAAATGCAAATTTCTATCTTAAACAAATTGATATGCTGCCACCACTACTTTTTAGAATCTATGCATCCTGTTTTGAAGGCAGTACCATAAAATTACCTATTTGTAAACTTTTGTAGAACAAATATGAAACTGAAACTATCATATACGTGGTATGTAGCGTTTGTTTAACCAGTTCTCGGCCAAATCTTATGCTGTTCTTCCATCCAAAAAATCGACATCCTTTGAAGAAGCATTGGTGGTATACATATATGTAAGTATTTAGTGCTAAATGCAATTATTACAACAATAAAAACAATAAAATGGCAATGACGGCCGATAACGGCTGTCAAGAGCGCATAAATTTGTGTTCGCATGCGCTTAGGCGACACGAATTAGCTTCGCAATCCAGCTAAACCGTCAATTGAGCCATGCAGACAGGTACTCGTAAATCGTAGATGGTAGACGGTATGTGATTTGCGTAAGTCACCTTTATGTCAACGGAGTGTCACCATGACGCCGATAGCGTCTATTATTGCCATTCTACCTACTTGAGTCACTCAATCACAGCACTTACTATTTCGCAGACCGCCACTGAAAAATAGCACAAAGAACACAAGTAGACATCATAATAAAATAATTGTATTTTATTACTCTCTTCCTTCCATGAATACACACACACTTGCAGGTGCAACGCATTCGTCGCGACGGTTATCCGGTGGAAAAGCATCACGTGCTAACCAAGGACGGCTATGCGTTGACATTACATCGCATACCGCAATATAATACGTCGACAGCAGCAGGCTCAAGTGCTTGCGGCATATATTCGCGACGTCCGGTCGTTTTCTTGTTAGCCGGAATTTACGCCTCCTCGGACGCTTGGCTACTGAATGGCCGCGAAAACTCATTACCATATCTGCTGTGGCGTCAAGGCTACGACATTTGGTTGGGCAACAATCGCGGCAACATCTACACGCGTCGCAACGTGTGGTACAATGCCACGGAGCGTGAGTTCTGGAACTTCAGCTGGCATGAGATGAGCATTTACGATATGCCAGCTATGGTGGACTACATCATGCAGTGCACGGGCGAGGCGAAAATGCATTTTGTGGGCATCTCACAGGGAGGCACTGTCTTTCTGGTGCTTAACTCAATGCTGCCGCAATACAATGGCGTCTTCAAAACTGCACATCTGTTGGCGCCGGTGGCGTATGTGAGCAACACTAAAGGTGGGCTAGCCAAGATTTTCGGTCCCATATTGGGTACACGCAACTATGTGGCTAAAGTGCTGGAAGGTATGGAAATGGTGTCCACAAACAAGTTTGTGAAAAAGTTCCTCTCGTCTCTTTGTTTTGAGAACGAACGACCGATGGTTTGTGTCAGCCGCCTTTGGCCAGCTGTGGGATATGACACGCAACATCTGAACAAGGTAGTACTTACAATAATATTATATTATATATATACTTAGTTTTTATAATTTATTATGTCTATTTATAGACTTTGCTACCGGATATAATGGCCAACTTTCCAGTGGGTGGCTCCTTTAAGCAAATTATGCACTACTTTCAGGGCTACGTTTCGACGAAATTCCGCCAATATGACTATGGTCCGGAGAAGAATTGGTTGATGTACAATCAACTAGAACCCCCCGACTATAAGTTGGAGCTAATCACAGCGCCAGTAACAATTTTCTACGCCGAGAACGATTACATCGTGTCCGTAGAAGATATTTGGCGACTGCTGATGCGTTTGCGCAACCTACAGGCCGTCTACAAGATTCCACGTCGACGTTGGAATCATTTCGATTTCATATGTGGCCTGGGCGTGCGTGAGTTCATTTTCGATAAAATCATCAGGGCAGCAAACTATTACGAATATACATATAGTTGACGATAATATTTCAATTGTATTTATAAAATTATTTTAATTTTTAAAATTTTAATTGTGATTTATAGGAGAAAGTAGGATTTTTAAGAGAAAATTTATTATTTGATCCATACTTGTTAAGATAAAGGTTGCCATAACTAAGTGACGTATATTTTTAAGAATAAATGTTGTCTGGGTATTATGGCATTTTTCGTATTATTGAAAATTTAAGAATAAACTATTTAATATATTAAAAGTTTGTCTAATTTGGTATTTAGCTCTGATATAAAGTAATTAAGTTTCCAAAAGTGTGAACTGAGTTTAAAAACCAAAACATTTTCCCAAAAAATTCATTCATGATCTTAACTATAAACGAAGCTTATTCTAATATGCATCAATCCTTCTGATACCATTTAATCGGCATTTAGGTATGATTTAATGTTTTTTCTCAAGAGTAGTTCAACTGTTAACTCAACAATATGGACAATTTATATCATAACCTTTTTTACTTATATAACAATTTTCAAAGTTTGAGAGCGACGAGAAAATAAAACGAAATTTTTTGCGTAGAGCTGCATGCAATAGAAATGCAACTTCCGTCTTACAAATAATGATTTTATGTTCATTGACCAATCACAGGGTTCGCTATTCTCTCGATGTTTATAACTCCAATATTTATTACCTCCTTAACGTTAATAGTCCAGAGATATGCCCATTAATTCGATGTAATTAATTTCATGGGACGAAGTTCGACGGCGCCCATGTGAGGCAATAATATAATATAAATCAATATAAATTGTAATCACAGTAGTTAATCTGTAACGGAGGACTCACACATATATTTCAAACGGTTAATCTAGTGATGACGTCTGATTATAATATGACATATTCACTTTCAACAATAAGCACATCGTCTAACATATCCGCAGTATATGTGTTTATGTTTGTTTACGGTAATTCTATGAGTGGTTTTTGGATTGTACAGATTAAATCCAATATAACAATACCAAACTAGCTTTAAAATATACAAGAAGATATTTCATGTCAGAAAAAAAATTCAAACACATTAGGTTTGATTTCAGCTGAGAGTGGAACTAACAACCTTTCTGTTGGGTTGTCAACCACCCAGTCCTGTCACATACGATCGTTGCTAAGCAATTCTGAATAATATATATCTTCTGCCGTTCAGAAGCGATCTGACGAACACTTTCGACCAACACTGTAAAAAGCACTTGATTTGTACACTCATGTTAATTGATACACGTTTATGATAGAGATAAAAGTGCTTACGCCGGGAGCAATTAGTAGATATTTACTGCTTCTTGGAAAATCTTTCTTAGATTACTTTATTTATTTTTGAATGATTTTTTTTGCTGTATAGAGTTTTGTTTTTAATTTTCCTAAATAGTTCTATCTATTTCATTCTGTTTGCAGCTCCCGTCTCCATTTGTACAACTTCAAACTGGAGATATGCGCTGGCAAACGCACAATGTCCTGCCTGTTCAACCATGTGCGGGATATCTCATATGTACATTGATACATTCTCAAGCTGGTATTGCAACTGAAATGCCAGAAGTCTGTGCGATTCAAGTTCATTTCCGTATTAATACGTGAGTATGTGTTGCCAGGTGCAACCCCACCCAACCAAACATCGAAACCAGCCTCGACTAAGAAGTAAGAGATCGCATTATCCGGATCATTGAGCAGAAAACAGTCGGATCAGCTCACGACACCATGTTGCAAATACACAACAGGACGTCGTAGATTTGAATAGTTCAATTTGTACGACTAAGGTATGTGAAAGACGTTGAACAATTAATCGTTAAAACATATAAAACTCTCCATAAACTAAAATAAATATTCCTGTTATGACCTCACCGTTGTTTTCAGTTGTTTTAATGGTACTTATTTGCAGGGAGGGGTCCAAATTCAAGATATACACTGACACCAGTGTGATGATGACTTGCACTAAGCCTATAAAGCCACATTAAATTTCAAAATTTGCTGCTTGTTTAAAAGTGAAAACCCCAGGCGCTACTGAAGGAAGAATTCCCTCTGTATAAAATTAAATACGGGTAATCATATATTTTGTAAGTAAAAGTACGAAATTTCATACATATCTACCATGAATGACTACTCGGCAAAGTATCATAAGTGCGCGACTGCCATTCGACATATTTGTACGGTGAATTGTTCCTATTTCGTTTATCTCAAACTAAACGGCTTTGTAAGAAAGTAAAGATTCGGTTTGAAAGAATTTGTATCCTTTTAAGAAATGTTACATTTCATCCGAATTGAAACAGCCCACAGATACTTTATAAAACTCCCTCAAATATTTTCTTTTATCAATAACAAACGGCGTAAAGCCCATTAATGATATCTGAGGATCTCTGCCTACAAAATGTAAGACGACTTATGAATTTTGTAAGACACTTTCACCAAAGGTTGTTTTGGGCGCAGTTCGACATATATCTGATCTAAATTTTCATATGTAGTAAAACTTTTCATGTTAGAGCATAAAATTAGCCAAAGTTCTAATTTCCCGACCTTCAATAGAAACAGTACAAACATTTCAACCTGTTTGGACTAGGGTTAAACTCTATAACTGACTGACTGAAAGTGTGGTCTACCATCTTAAATATATTGTATATTGTTCATAGAAGTTTTTATTGATTATTTTAATATTGATCCTCATAATCTTTACAGTACTGTATTACAGGTTTGTTGATTTCCTCCTTAACCTGCTTGGCGAAAATGAAATCCAGATGTCCCCATGTTGGATTGGGAACTTCATAGAACAGACGTAAATTAGGTAGGTAACCCGGTAAACGTTTCATATCTTTCGAATTAGCCGAACCGTCATTTAAACCGTAGTAGAGAAATGTATTGGCAGTGATCTTTTCTAGAGGATACTCTGGCGGTTCTTCCTGTTTGTATTCTTTTTTATTCTTCTTCGAACCAAAATCGTATTGACGAAACTTGTTCGACACTTTAAGTTGTATGTAGTGTATTCCTTGATTAGTCGAAATGCCAGCAGGATGTGTTTCGGCCAGTTGAGGTAGTAACGTCTACAAATCAAAACAAATGTATTTCTTTCACTTTGAGTATTCGCTATATTATACTGACCGCATTTAGGTTCGCCTGCTCGTCGCCAGCCCACATTAGAAATAGTGTTTTACAATATTTCGGATATGCTGGTTCGCCGCCACAAGCCGTATCCAGCAGGCGTTGGACATGCGGATTGTACGGTACAAACGGTTGATCGCTGAGCAGATTAGTGCCCATACCAGGTGAGCCTACATAAGGTGCAAGTGCCGAAACAATGCTGTCGGTTACATTACCCATAAATACAGCGGGGGCCAAACCATGTCCGGTTTTTATTTTAACATTATATTCCGGGCGAGAAGAAAGCATCACAAAGTAAACTGTGCCACCCTGTGAATGTCCAACATAATGCAATGCACTTTCACCTGTCTGCTCGAGCACATAGTCAATCGATTCGGGCATATCAATGGTGCCGATCTCATGCCAACTGAATTTCCAAAACTTCGGGTTTACGGGTGATAAAGTTGAATGGTTACGTGAGTAAATATTGCCACGCGCATTGCCCAACCAAACATCAAAACCAGCATCGACGAAATTATATGCAATCGCATTCTCCGGACCATTAAGTAAAAAACAATCGGAACAACTGAACAGACCATGTTGTATGAAGACTACAGGCCTACGGTCATGCTGATTGCCCAAACGTGGCGAGTACGGAATGCGAAAGAGATTGAGAATATAACCATCTGTCGTCTCCACAAAATGTGACTCAGCGGGGTAACCATGCTGGCGTATACGTTCGTCCTAAAAATTAGTTGAAGCTTTAACTTGAGTGTACAAAATATAGTATTATTCAACTTACGGAAGTTTTTAAAGGTTTAAGTAGTATGTCAATGTGGGGTTCAATGTGATTCAGATCGAAAGCGCTGTTAAGCACGATCAGCACACTTAAAGCAATCGTTGAACGAAGCATAGTTTGCAAAAAAATTTGTGCAAACTAAAGAGATTGGTTCAATAATGGCGGGTTATAAAGGCTAGCAGTTAATGCCTAGAGAATATCTAATCAGAGAGATTAAGAGTAATGCAGTGGAGGACGCAGATAAGCTTAATATGGTTAATCGTCATAACCCAAACAAAAAATAGAGTCTCTTATACCCCCCATATTGAATTCCATTATTTATAGTTTGTTTTGTATATTTCGGGAAAATGTTATCAAAACGTTGTATTGTAAATCAAAAATATTTTGTATGCACTGCGCATATTGTTTTTGTTGATACGAGCATGCAAGCATTTCAATTTTATTCTTGAAAAGGTTAACGACTTAAGGTAATGCAGCTAAAACACGAAACGCATAAAATCAAATAGGAACACAACAACTAGAAGCTTCTCTTTCTATATATCCTTAATTGCCTATAGCTTAAGTGATTTCTTTGCGAACCTTTAAATTCCGAAAAATTTTCTGTTATTTACACTTGTCAGCAAAATTACACATTATGACTAATGAAAGACTGGTGACAAATGACGTTTGTTAAACTAACGTCGTTGAATCTAAATAATTCTTTAAACTACTAATTCTCCCGCACTGCATGCCAACTATCGACTAAATCATCGGTTTATTACCCAAAAGCGCTACTAGAGATATCTGTTAAAGTTTCTATGAGTTTCTTAAGGCCGATCGTTCATCTCTTTCGCACACATAGTTCCACTATGTGTATGCGTTAGTTTCCACGCTAAATCTTTCGATGTACCAGAGTATCGGTAGTCGTGATTTTGTGGGCTGTAATCTAAGGCATTATATAGCGAACAGGACTAAATGGAACATCCAAAACACACATGATAGCTGACAGTTTTTAGAACATTTAAGCCATCGACCCAGGTAACATATTTTCTAAACTTGAGTGGGGTATGATGATCGATTGCGATAAGATATTTATTTCTACATTTATTTCCTTTAGTGATTTACTTTATTTATATTGAAACTTGATAAGAAGTATTTTATTACACCACATTGACAAAGTCCGGAAATTATTGTAAATGAAAAGTTAAAGGTATTCTAAAAAGTAAATTTATTCTAGCGAACTCAGTTATTGATTCGTTGTGCTTGAAAACGATTAACTTAATAATAGCATTGGAAGGTTCCCATGCCAGTCGAGTCTATGTAACCGAAACGGACCCGGATTTTTATTAGGACTGTCAACTCGGCAACATTCCTTCAAATTACTTTAGGGATATTTTCTACGGTTACAACAACAACAGAAGACACTCCTAAGATACACTTACATAAGTGTTTCAATCCTACAATTATCTCATCATCTACTCTATGGTTTCCACGAGATCAAATTGGTTGTAGATGTGTTTCAGCTTGTACTTTTTCATTATTTTTTTATATATTTGAGTATCTTCTGTAATCGCAATGCAAAAAATTTGCAGATGAAGCCTAAATATATAATGGATTACGTTCTTTAAGCTTAATTGAATGTGCCACAGCTTTAGATGCCTTTTATGATGTACTTCTTTATGCTATCCGACAATTACCTATAAGCCACCTGCTAAATACTAAGGGCTGTCAAAAATATATTCTAGGGCCTGACATTGCCAGTTTCGAAAATTGCAAAGCACGTTCATATACCTGCAATGGATACCTATTGACCATTCTAAATTTTCTGAACTAAATTAACCAAAATTCCATCTTCAACTTGCTTATGTTTTATTTGTATCATTACATTCTCTCATAAGTCTTAGCGACGCGAACAACACGGTCGTTGATAACCTCTCGCATTTTGTTTGCAACAATAAAGTCCATGTGATTCCAAGTTGGATCGGATACGCGATAATCCTCAACTAGATACGGCATATTTTTTACCAAAGTGTCGACATCGCGAGGACCGCACAGAGCATCGTTGGCGCTCGAGTATAAGTAAGTGCGAGCAGTAATTTTACTCAGATCATAGTCTGGTGGCGTATCTTGATTATAAATCTTTTGATTCTTCTTGGTTCCATAATCGAATTGACGGAATTTATGTGACTTATATAGTTGGAGATAATGTATGCCCTGATTGCTGGACGAACCGCCTGGATGGGTCTCAATGAGCACTTGCATGGAAGTCTGAAATATCAAAATAGAAGATATTAAGGTATTAATTTTATAATTTTATATATTATTTATATTACCAGATTTGTGTTGCGGTAACCATCGCCGGCATACCAAAGTGCGACATTCCTACATTGTTTGCCCAAATTGGGTTGTTCACCGCAGAGTGTGTCTGCAATGCGATTTACCACATCGTTTTTAGGCATCAACTCCATATCCTCGAGTAGGCGGTTCCATAGCCCATCAGGTGTGCCGACCAATGCGGAGAGTTGGAAAACGGGATGTCTGCCATGCTCGAAGAATGCACATGGCGCCAATAGATGTGCCGTTTTAATCTTGGGATTGTACTGTTTTCTGGTAGACATGAGCGCCAAATACGCCGTGGTGCCCTGCGAGTGGCCAGCATAATGTACGGCTTGCTCACCGGTGAAATCACGTATATAATCAATCATAGCGGCAATATCAATGGTGCCAATTTCATGCCAACCGAATTTCCAAAATTTCGGACTATTTAAGGTTATTTGTGCATTTGCGCGCGAGTAAATATTACCGCGGGCATTGCCTAACCAAACGTCGAAACCGGCGTCGGTCAGCAGGTAGGCCAACGAATTGTCTGGACCGCTGCTCAACCAGCAATCTGAGTTGCTGAATAAACCATGTTGCAGCAGGAAAGCTGGACGTTTCGCGCGCCCATTATTCAGTTTGTGTGAGTAAGGTATGCGAAATAGTGTTAAGAGATAACCATCAGTAGTTTCTACGGTATGTGATTCTGCCGGATAGCCATGGGATCGAATGCGTTCTTCCTTTAAGATATACGTTTATGTTACATATTATGAATTAGGCGGTTGTATATTTTTTTTTTACTTACAGATGTGACAAATTGCTTAAGCGCCAACCGCACTTCATCGAATGTTAATGCTACTGCTATATTTGCCATAGCCAGCAGAAGCCCGGAGGCCAATATTACTTTATTAAACTTCATTCTTAAATGTTCACTACACATTAAACAATTTTCGCTTTGGACACGTCGCTTTATAAGCACCAATGACTTGGCCATGATTTCCCGCTATGCCACCAGCGATAGCTTATCTCTCAAACTTGATTAGACAATTTGGTAATTTGGAATACTTTAATTTATGGATTTTCAATGCCTAATCCAACACAACACAATCGCAAATATATACTGCTAAGCGTTCGTTCAATTTTATTATGCTTTCAATATACAATACCTTAAAAAATCTATATTTGTTTATAGTAGATTGCATTATTTTTCAAACATAACATGAATGGAAATATAATTGTTTATAATGAAAATTTATCAAATCTACTTAAAGCATATATTATACTATGAAATGGTAACCCTTATTATGCACACTTTCCCATTCTTATGTCGAGATAAGTCTTCAGCGATAAAACTTTGGCAGCCACAATTGGATGTGTACAACTGCTTAAGATGTTCCTGCAAAGCTCGAAATCGCCCTGCAATGCCATGACCACAGCTAAATTATAACGCACAACATTCTGTGCGGCATCCAGTGACTTAACGCGCCAATCTTTTGTCTCAAAATCAAATGCATTCAGGTTTGTCACAAATGTTGGCTCAAAATGTGGGCGTGCCTCCTCCAATTTATCCAGCATCAATAATGCTTCACCAGCATACATATGCGCTAGCAGTCTAAAGAAAGAAAAATATGCTTGCATTAAATAAACAATTAAAGTTATAATATATTTTTACCTATGAGCATCGGAGAGTTTTTCAGCTTTCAACAGCTCCTGTGCCATTTCGAGTGCGCTTACATAATCGCCCAGACGCAGTGAAACATAACTGTATGCCGCGTAAATTGCACAGAGCATATTATTAAGAGAGTTCTTAGAAATCGGTCGAGAAGGGTTGCAAAAATTATTATCCTTGACATTACGCCAATTTTCTTTCTCACGCTCTGTAGGTAATTCATCATCTTCAGTCATTTCGAATGCGTTTTTATAATATGTGGTGAGGGTGAGGGCATTACGTAGCGCCAAGGCGGCAAAGTGCAGATTCGGTCCCGATTCTAGAGAGGCTTTATCCAGCCTGCATAAATATATAATTAATATATATGCATATAATTAATTAAAGAATTAAAATATTGTATTAAAGTAACACTTACGAATACACCACATTGTTTGTGGGCTTTAGGAAGACCATTTTACGACCTCCAGTATTTACCACAGATGTGATCATTGGCTTACTATCCTCCTCTAACATTTTCTGTAATTTGTTAAAATCGTAAAATTGTTTTGAGTATATTTATATATGCACATACCATTTCATGATCCATAATGCAGGCTTCTGATATACGAAACCATAGGCGCGGATTGTTGTGATACGATTTTAACGGCACAAAAAAACAATTATATGCCTCCTTAGGACGGCGCAAGTGCAGCATAGCAATACCCAAATTGTAGAGTATTTCACAAGTTCGTGCTGTGCTCATTTGGTATAAGGAAACGTTGCGCATATTTGCTGCTATGCGCTTATCAAAAGTTATAGCATCCTGAAAAAATTTCGCAGCAATTGCATAATGGCGTACACGTAAATGTATTACGCCCATATTGTTTGCAATACAAGTATTAAGCATGTCGCTGCTATAAATTAAAGGTTTAAATTAAAATTTAAATGAATAGAAGCACAAGACAAAAAACTTACCCTTCGCCAATTACACCTATCTCGTTGACCTTTTTCAGTTGTTTGGCCGCCATTTGAAAGTCCTTCATTATGTAATATTGATGGGCTTTAAGTAAAGAAAACTCCGCCGACTACAATTGGAAAGTAGAAAATGCAAATGTAATTACATAATTGATTCTACACTTACACCATCTTCTGCCACCACAATAGGTTTACGATTCATAACACATGTCTGTATAGCCAAAAATTTATAAGCGCGTTGAAAGTTTTCATGCTTGGCGGTTGCCGTGTCACAAGTTGAAGCTTCTTCGCCTATTAATGTATCTCTATTTAAGTAGAGCGATGATTTGTGTTCAGGCGATTGCAGCATTTCCAGAAATGCGGCCGCTTTGCGCAATTGGTTAGTGACGAGCAGTAGACGTAGCATAAATGTACTCACAAGTGCAGCCATGTGTTCTTCTAAATCTTCAACTTCATCAACTAACGGCGTAAGTGTGTTGATTGCGGTTTCATACATATGCCGATGATAGTATATTACCGCCATGTTGAATCGCGCTATTGGACTATAGGAAAGATTCGACGATATGGGACTAGATCTACTTATAGGTCCATTCTGAAAAAAATTAATTTTAATTAATATATCTAAATAGTATTTTTAAAGGTTAACATTTTTTATAATTATTTATTTTGCATATAGTAATTAATACTGAATAAATGTAATTAGTAAGTTCACGTTAGCTTAAATTTATTTCTATTATCCGAACACTATTACATACATGCATAAATTAAATATTACTTCACTGTTCATAGTTTTACGTTTCGAAAATCTAGAAAATCCAATATTTTTAATTTTAATCCATTACGTATACGATGACATACATATTAATGTGTGCATAGAGCCAAAACATGTTTGTAAAAAAGAAATCCCTTCCAACTTTAGAATTTTATTACGCTTCAAGTTTGTTGAAATGTTTTCATTTGAATTTCACTTTGTTACGACATTCTATAACGGTAGAAATGTCACCGGAAGCGGCCATATTTTTAACTTCACTGTCAACTCATCACACTCGATCAGAGGGCAAGCGTCATTCGGTTATTTGAAAGCAAAAAAAAAAAAAAAAATAGAAAATGGATACCTTGATTTCGAATGCTGACGATTCTGAAAAATATCGCTACATATCCCACGTCGATTTTATACGGATTCTTCGTGATAAATACAAAGAAGGTACCAAGAGCACTTTTGAAAACATAAAGGCACAAGTTGAACAAGAATGTGAGAGAAAAAAACAACAAGGTAATAATATTAGCGATCTAAAAAATAATACGCTTCCTTCATACATTAAAACGATTCTTGCAGCGGAAAAGGCCACAACTTTACTTAATCACTGCCGCCAGGCCTTAAGCCAATTGGATGAACAACACGAAATGATTGAAAATACTCTTAAAGAACATACCGAATTGGGAAAAAAGCTGAATAAACAAATACGCCAACAGGCCAATAGCCTAACCAACGATGAAGAAGCAATGCGACAACTGCTTCTGGAACTAAGGCAACGCAACCAATAATTAGTTTAGTTTGCGTTATAATTTATATGAAAAAAAAAATTACACAGAATATAAAAGAATTTAGAATCTACTCACATTTTCATTAAGGCTTTTCAATAGCGTGACATGATCCTTACATCCAGACTTATAGAATTTCGCCACGGCGCGATTGTGTTCTAACTTGTTATTGGTTCCATTGCATTTTTCCAACTCCTCAAGTGTTTCTAGACACTGATCATAATTGCCACTGAAGTAAATATAAAGAGATTGTAACTGAGGCAATAAAAAAAATGCGGATATTTACGTGTTAAATTCATCGTAAGCCTTTTCAATTAACTTGTATTCTTGCTCCACATCCGTACTGCTTTCATATTTACAGTCCGAATCATCAGATGTAGTCGACTCCAACATTTTAAACCTTAAATAAATACAATTAATTTCATTACACTAACCACAACCTAACAAATGCTGTCTAACAGATGATGTTTAACATCTCTGTGTGAAAGGAAAACAAAGAAACAGGGTTGCATTTTTAAATAGCGTAACGTGTCATAACGTAATTGTTGTAGCGTAAGTAATTTAACTCGGCTTTCTCCGAAAGACAATAAAAATACAAACAATAAATTTAATTTGTTTATTTACTGAAATGTTTACAAAACTTTTGCTTGAAACGCGATAATTTTAACATGGGCCATTTTAAATATGTATTCAATAATCAGTATTCAATTAATCGAGCAGCATTGAATGCGCTATAATTTAACGTAAGATCATAAGATTCCAATTTACAAATATATAACGTCAAAATGACAGTTTTCCAATTAAAATATATATTTTACATTTATATTTATAATAGTAATAAAGATATTTTGTTCGATTGATGGCTACTAACGAAAATATTCTTGTCCTTATTCCTACACTTAAATCTTCTTCGCCTTCAGCAATGCTATTTTTTTATGTTTTAAGTTTATATTAATAATAATTTGTCGGCACATTACTAAAGATAAAATAGTTGTTGAATTCAAAAATATATATATACTTGTATATCCATATAGTAGAATTTATATAACGTACATTCCATACAATAAATATTTTTATATATTGTATAAACCCGAAATTTGAAAAAAATAAACCCTTCTGAGCAGTTAAATCCTTCAATGTATGTTCAATGTGTTTATATTCGCATTTTGTATATTTTTCTGTTCATTCAGATTGATTCCCTAGTACGTGTGCACTCGAGTAACAGTAACAACCACTTTTTCTTTCGCCACACATTCCCCATTGCGTTCTGAACCTTATATCGCCTCTTATGTATTGCGAATCTTTCCTGGCACATAATTCTTGTCGATTACATTCTCCTGCAAGAACATGTGTAAGCATCGCTCATTCTGCGCCAACGGATGGCCAGCAATTTTATTAATGAATGCTTCTAGGCCTTTTCGCCGCTCCTCAATGAAGTTTTCATCGAATATACCTTCGTCGCCGCGGAAAGGCATTTGGCGTTTCCATGCTTTACCGGGTAATGGCGGTACTACAATCTATTAATTAAAATATGCAAGTTAAACTTTGAATGATACGAACTATTAATAGTAATTATACCTTGCTATCGCGTTCCAATTCATTCCTCAACCATTCAAAATCACTGTAGCGTCGGCGTACGCTAGATTCCTTTACTTTGAATACTGGTAAATTCGTCTGGAATATATTACAAGTAATTCATGTAAAAATATAAACAATTCACATACACATACATATTCAAAGCAGACAGTGGTGATAACCACAAATCTTGCTTAATGCTACCACAAACATTATGAGTAATTTTCATTGATAAATGAAATGTATGCGTAATGACCAACTTTTAATCTGTACAAGTTTCAGACACAACTGATATGCTGTTTAAAAATATTAAAACCTACAAATGTTAATATGTGCAACACTAAAAACGATGCTTATGAATATTCCTTAATTGTTTGTAATCATAACTGTTTCCGTTTGAAACAAAATTATCAGCATGCACTCATTAATTTGCATAGGTCACTCACCCGCATTCGTACTTCGTAGTCCGTATAACGTTTCTTGCCTGCAGCCATGGTTGTCAGTGGATTGACCACGTCGATTTCCAAGAAATTTGCTGGTACCGCATAAGCATCATCGAGAGTTTGCTTCTTGACGTTGAGACGACGTGTAGCATCAGCAGTACCATCGGATTCCACCATCATTTTCTTATTTGCAAACTAAGTATTATTAAGTTAAATACTGGAGGGATTGTGAATATGTGTGTGTGTATGTATGCAGTTTGGAAGTATGAAATATTCCCAGGAAAGAAAACTTTTCGCACCAAATAGATTAATGTTATATATTTAATAGTATTTATCGAAATCACAGGTCTATTAGCGATATGACGAATTGGTACGGTATTCGAGAATTTTCAATAATTTTGTCTTACACTTTTCGTTGACACCGCTGTAATCCGCCCCTTCTTTGCATTAACTACAATAGCGATGGTTGTTAAAAATTTCTGCTCGATTAATGAGATTGAGTGATTAACTTGAAGAAAAACCGAAAATTATTGACAACAGTTATCAGTAATATCGATTAATTATAATTATTTTGTTAACATAAAACGAAAATAATAGTGCTAGCAATAGTTTCACATTCTTATATTCATTTCAATTATAAAATATGTAATTTTAAAATATTTTTACTGGTAAATATAACTAGAAAAAATTTAGCAAAACAATTTCTGAAATGTCTGACTTTAAACTTTATGTAATTTGATCGAATTTAACGTATGACTTTATTTTACAATCGACACCATAAATATTTTATATATAATGCACAACTGATTTATATGATAAATTCTTTGATATTAAGTCATAGAAGAAATAAATTTAACTTCAAATTAAGATTTTTTTAATACGATATAAGCAAAAGTACTTTATACGTTCGGAATGATATTTTAAATGTTTATTTACTTCAAGTTTCATTTGTCAAATTTGTTTTGAAGAAACCTTTTCAAGTATTCGATATATACCTAAGTATTTTATGACTCAATTGGAAAAAAAACATCGATATTTATGATCGAATATGGCTTACATCTCAATAGATCGCATAGTTTATATGCGGCCTCAAATTTACCAGCACTCAATTTATTAATACCACAATTTAGAAACAACACAATGCAGAAGCTATTTGACTATTTTATTGAATAATTTTGTGAAATTGATGCACTACTTCTTCTACAGTTATTTTGATACCCATTTAATTGTATTAATTTTTCCGTTTTGACATTTTCCATTTTCTTTGCTTCGTTGTCATTTCTTAGTGATGCCATATTCCACTAACTTTAACACTTTCCAGTCTATCGATAATGGTTTCGATAAATAATCTTACTAAAATTTATAACCAAACTTTTAGTTTCCATTACATTTTAAAAGGACTGCTAGTGTGAAATTTAAAAAATGTTTTTTAATATATAATGTATAATATTTTCGGCATGATCTGTATATAATTTTCCATACAATGACCCACCATTTTTTGAACTGATCACGAATACAATATAGGCAGGCCAAATAAGACCAAAATGTTGAGTCAAACTCAACTTTTGTTTTAAATGCCGCCATTTGGTCAATTTTTAATTTTTTTACGACCGTAGGATACTGTATCTTCTGGTATAACGCGGTTTTTTAGAGACGAAGATCACGTGTAACCCGAAAATTATATTTATATTTTCTTAAAAAGTTTTTTTCTGTATGTCTTATATATGTATAAATATGCCCTTAAAACTTTAAAACAATTAATAAAATGTTTTTTGTTTTTAATTCCTATAAATTCTCATTTTAAGCTGTCACACTAATAGGTGTGCCCTTTAAGGATTGTGTAAAAAAATCGAATCACTCTTGACATAATTTCTTTAAACTCACGTTTTATATATTTTTTAAAATAAAAACGCAATTGAAAATATTCATGTCTAAAAACATTTATTCGTTTTGGGTTACCAGGAATATACATACATAGTAAAAATTCAAGCCGTCTGGTACACATCCACAACGCACTAGGAAAGCTATAGCACGCACATATGTATATTAATATATACAAGTATATACCTATATTTACTTTTGTACATATTTCTATGTAATTTTATGAAAATGTGTGTAAGATTCCAAAAAGAATTCAATTTCATTCAAAAATTAATAATATATAATTTTAAAACTATTTTTTTGTTCGTTATTCAAATCTGCTGTGACGGACCAGAACCAATAACATGTAAATTGTAATTTCATGTAATTTAATCAAATTACTTGGTACTGTTCTGTTACATGAGATGCATTCATACTTATTTGTAGGCAGGAATTAAGGTATACTATTTACCGTTACATAATCATAATTATGTAAATATGTATGTGTGTCGTTGAGGGTATATAAAAATCAAGCATTGATTACATATTTTACAATTAATTAAACTAAAGCAAAATATTTGGTTCCATTGCACTTTTAAAATTGTACGATAATAAATATCGAATTATGGACTCGGAGTGAGGCGAATGGGCTTGTAGCAAAAGCGCAGCGATCGATCTATAACTTAAATATATGTAAGCAGAAGTTTATCAAATTACTTGTGCAAATGCAAGAAGTAATTGCACTACAATTTACACTTATGATTACAATTACTAAACTAATTGTTAACTAAATATACATATAGTATGTATGTATGTATGTGTTATATTATATGTACATAAGGGCGTACAAGCACTATCTACAAATCTACAAGTCTACTGTACAAACGTACATTAACTACCCTTGAAAATTTTCTTTATAAATTTCAATTCCTCTCTCAATATTAATGTATTTAACAAAACCATAATCGACGATGAATCTACTCGAACAGTCGGAATGCTTTTCCAGAGGTAAGACACTTTTGCCGCATTTTGAAGAACTCAAATCAAGCAGCAACTGTCGCTTGACAAGCTTGATGATTTTGAATTTCATATGTAAGTGCTCAGTGTCTAAAGTCTGCACATAAAAAAGTGCCCAAAGTATTGAAATAAATATATAGAACAGCAAAGTATATGAGAAGAACAGCTCAATCCTGTTTGGCAGCTGCATCCGCCTTGGCCTTTTGGGCAACCTCCTTGTTGTAGTTTTTAATATAGAAGGAGCTGAACATGTATGTAAAAAGGCCGGCGTTAAAGGTGAGCAGAGCAGCAATTGGTTTTGGGAAATTACAGCTGGGTTGGAATTGAATTTGAAGAGTGTGCACGAAGATGATTAGGAATTGAATCTGCAAGAAGACAGACTCAATGTATAATGACTTCATACAAGATAATCACAAAAAAATATACTTAAAAATTAACGTTCAACTTACAATTTGGAGAATGGTAATGTATTTCTTCCACCACAAGTACTTCTGGACCTTGGGACCCATGGCAGAGAGCAAGTAATAGGCGTACATGATGATATGTATGAAAGAGTTAATGAATCCCAGTAAAGTACCATGACCGCCTATGAAAAGAAATAAACGGAATAAACAACAGTATTAAACATAACAAATAAAGGGTTGGTTAAGTTAAAAACATACTGACCGGCGAAATATTTGACTCCCACGAAGGCGCAAATGGGCATCAGGGTGTGGTGGTACCTGTGTATATGAAAAATATGTTGTTTTCATTTTTACATATTGCTATACACTTCCTATATACGTATAAAATTAGGTTCTGCGTTACTTACAAATGCAGGAAGGAGATTTGCCGTTGCTTTTTGCGCAAGACGAAGAACACGGTGTCGAGCAGTTCCGTGAGTTTGGCGATGTAGTACAACCAAACAGCGCGCGCCATCTGTGAAAGACATAATGTCACATTTGCATACATACGTACATATAAAATATAAACTATATATGCATATAATGCTAACATATATATAGATATATATCTAAGTCCTTATATCTAGCTTATCGGTAGAGTAGAAGTATAAGAGATTTTTGTTATATTTCAAAATATACTTTCCATAGCAATTATCAACATTGCAAAACCCCATTTCATACTTAGAATCTCCATTTTCACAGAGTTATCATAGAAACCTTTTCATGAGACTAAATATTGCGTAAACTTCATTGGTTGGAAGTAGAAAGAACGGATATACGAATATTCATTGTATTATATAATGAGCTTTTTTGACAAAATATTCCATCCAATCAAATTTGACCCGCATTGACAAAAACAAATTTTCGCATATTCTAATACAATTCTTTATTATCGGCTTCAAAATACGGTCATTCTGAGTCAATATAAGCATGCCAATGGTTAAACCAATTTTCCATACACTGAGGAAATGGGATGGTCTTGAGTGCCTTCAGCGATTTCACGTGGCCGTGATTCCATTGGAAACACAAAACTTCAAGCATTCTCGATGTTATTTTTTTTCATAGTAAAAATCGCCAAAAAAATCGTTTGTATATGGACCAGTACGGGTAAAATTTGATCAGATGACATTGTTTTTACTAATATCAAGATGAATAATTCAGTCGTTTTCCGAAATAAATTTAATGAAATTCCATAAAAAAGTCATTTCAAATTGATTACTGCTGAACTAGACCAGAAGTGTCCTATTAACATATTAATGAAAAAAGCTACAGATTAACTCGCCCGTAACCGGTTTTGGTCACGAAAGAACTGGTGTAACGACCTGCTCCAAAACGTTTTCTTTTCATAAACACTATTATGCAACCAATAACCGGTCAGTATTATAAAACTTTCACAGTTTCTGGTATCACCTACCCTCATGGAAATCGGATCTGTCGCATAGGTGACCGGTTGGCAGCGGAAATTGTAGTGTCCACCCCAGCCGGCTTTGTAACCCTGAAAAGCAAGAATTTTTTTGTGAGAATTTTCAGCTTAGTCAATTTCTTTTCTCATACTTACCTCATAGAATAGCACCCAACTAAATAGCACCTGCACAGCATTGTATACCAACAGTGTTGTTTTCAACTCGAATGGCTTGCGATCGCGCATGTAACGTGGTCCCGCATACAAACAGAAATACAAGTAACCGGCCAAAATCATAAAGAGCGGACCGGGAGCATTCGACAGGAACCAGCTCTTTGTACGCATATCCTCATGTTCCACCAGAAAGTTGACCATACGATCAACAATCGTATTCGTATCATTCATTCGTACAGCTGACATTTTCCAAACTGTATGGATATTACAGTTATTTACTGTTTAAATAGTTTAGTTTTGTTGAGTCAGAGACTTCCGGAAATTCGTACACAACGGAAATAGCTAAAAGTATACAGAGAAATTTGTTCACTGTTAATTAGCGTCAATGGCGTTTATTTAGTGTGAAAAGAACGCACAAAATGTAAATGCTTAAATAAATATTTGATAGTGAAATAGTTTTTTTTTTTTTTGTTGAAGCACTTAAAGTTCATTAGTTAAACAGACTTGATTAAATATGCAAATATATGTATTGGGTGTTTGTTGTTGTTGTGCTTTATTTTATTTTGTTTGAGTTATCTACTATTGAACTGTTAATTGCAAGAATAACCTTACTTTTAAGCTAAATATTCAACGTATTAACCACTCAAAGCAAATACATTCGATAGAGAGGAGCTTTGAGCAGCAAATATTTCAATAATAATTGAGAGGTGTATTTTTTATTTGAAATACGTTTCAGCTTATAATTAGATATTTTTGTACGCATTTGCATAAATTTATCCTAATAGTTAGTTAATCTTGTGTGACACGTGCTTCTACTTAATTGCCTCTCAATGTATAAATATCTCAGCAAAAGAAGTTGCGGCTTTAATTCTTATTCAGAACATATTTCATTCATTTTATTTTATTTGATTTTCTTTATAATCCTACTTTTTATGACGGTTTTTATACTTTTATAATATGTAAATATATTATTGCTTAGCTTATGACGTTAGGTGTTCCGTGATTGCTTTGGAAAATCCATTCCCGCATTGTAAATAATTTATTCCTTTAAGTTTTTATTTAATTAAATGAATAATTAATCAAGATTCACTAAAACCGATGTGATTGTTGCTATTTTCTAGTATTCCATGCGTAAGCTTTTTTTTTTTCAAAATACCTGAAGTGTCAATTACCTCTTCCTTACTGGTATTACAAGTATTTAGAAAAAGGGAATTATTGGACTTTGACAGTTTTATACCCTGAACATAGCTGATTTGATTTAGCCATGTCCGCCTGTCTGTATATACCCGACCTGGTTCCTAAGTATTTGATATATCAATCTGAAATTTCGCAATTTCGTTTTTTTCTCCTCAAGAAGCTACACATTTTTCGCGTCTATCAATATGGGAGCACTATAGCATATAACGGTCATGCAAAGTGAGAGATCAAAATCAAGTTATTGTATGGACAACTTTTTTATTCGACGAAATATATTCACAAAAATTTGGTAAAGCTACAATCTCCGTTCAGACCGGACTACTATAGCATACATATGCCATACAAACTGAATGATCAAAATCATGTCCTTGCATGGAAAACTTTTTTATATGAAGGGTATTAAAGCTTCGGTTATTGCACACTTTCCTTCTCACCAAGCAGCTGCTCACTTGTCGGAACCATTGATATCGGACTACTATAGCATATAGCTGCCATACAAACTGACCGATCAATATCATTCTTGTAAGGAATCTTTTGTATTTGTGAAGGGTATTATAAGTTTGGTGCGAGTGCAGTTTACTTTTTTTCTTGTTTTAAAGAAACTAACCAGATCCTTTCAGTTCAATTATATTATTATATATTATTATAAAATATTTCGAATTATTTGTGGTACACTCCTTTATGTTAATAGACAAGTGGAGGGACCTAATAGCTTTTAACAATCTCTGAGCGGCTGAAGGATTTTTGTGCATAGATATTTTACCTCAGAAATATTTTCGGAAATCTTCACATTACATACGGAGAGTCGAGAGAGAACTCAGATCGAACGCTGGTCTCACCACTACAACACAGCTATCGTGATTGAAACACTATTATTTCAGTACGATTTTGTAACCGATAATGTTTGTACGTCCTTGTTAGTTATGACCAACATAATAAGTAAAGTGTTAAAGAGTTGCTTCAGTACCACCAGTACCAGGTATCTAAAATATTTATATAATTATATTTGTAGTACTGAATTAGTGATAATTAGATATGTGATAGTGATAGCTAGATACTTTTTTTCTTCCTTATAATTTAAATTTTTTTTTACTGAAATTGTAATTTTTTTTGTTTTGTTGGTATGTACACTACAATTGAATTAAGGATACTCTCAATAGGATTTTATTTTATTTTTTTTTTAAATGTATTTAATGACACGCGTTAGAACATTTTGAAGCAACACCATATGCATCATTAAGTTTGCACCAGATGTTGAGAATTATAATGACAGTTATAAAAAATTCAAAGTTAAACAGCAAATTCACACTTCATTTAAAATTTAGTCCATTTTTTATGTCCTGGAACCACAAATAATAATATGCAAAATACTTTGTGCATAAATTTAATTTTTCATCAAGTTTTTTAGATTGAATTTTTTAAAAATTGCACCATATTTTTCACAAAAACTTATATAAATGCTGACTATATTCATCTAAAATATAATATATTCATATAAATTAAACCAATTACCAATTTAGAATCGAACAACAAGTTAAGAAGCAAGAACTTCCCGCGTTACATAATCCGCACTTCTTAAAACCCGCGAGCAGACTGATCGTACACGTCGAAAAACAGTCGCACAATATTAACTATTTTAGTCTATTTCCAAAATTTTTTATCACCCAAATTTATGTATTGCTCAAATGACAAAAAAAAAACTTCAAAAAAGGCAACAAAAGACTAACTAATAATATACTCAGAAGAAGATCAAAAACAGGCTCAGACCATCAGGTCGGTCGCAAGCGCCGCGTATGCAGATACGCACCGCCAAAAAGTCAACTAGTCGCGTACGCAAATTAAACAGACAAACATATGCACACAAACACACACACACACACACAGTGTATATACATTTTTGAATATGGAAAACAAAAGCGATACAAGCGACTGAAGAACATACATAAAAACATTAAAACTCAAAAGCATTAATAATAACAACAAATAAAGGTGATACTTCTCGATATGTCGAAACCATAAACTGGGACAATGTCACATAAATGTAAGCAAAACTTAAAGCAGATAAGGTGTAAAATCTTAAAAATATATCATGCACATCCGCATGCACACCTATAGACCACTCTATAGAGAAAGAAAATAGTGATGAAACAAATTATAGAAAAATCATAACCTCAAACTCTTATACATTTTGATCGAGAATCAATATTAGCTTAGCGTGAAATTAAAAATTAGCAAACGGTTTGAGAGCAACCTTACCGATAATCAAGAACTGCATGCACGAGTTTGTTTTGAATTTTTCCAGTTTTTCGGTTTTTTTTCCAAAAAACAAAAAATTAAATGTAACGTTCAGAAAAATTGCAAATCGAAACAAATTTGAATACTTTTTTGCTTGCGGCCCATTCGTCAGCCAAACACCTCACAATAATAATAACAACAATGTAGTTACTTGTCAGGCAGCGAGACGTCAGCAGCAGTGGCGGCGGCGACCCGGTGTTAAAAGTGCGAAATTGCATTTTTTTTGCTAGTTTCAGCTCAACGAAATTAACAAAAGCTTGTAATAGCTGTGGCGCGAAGGGAAAAACGCAATTCATCACAGCACACGTGTAAACGCCTGAACTGCTACAACAACACTTATATACAAATGTAGCTCTTTGGTTTTGTTTTATTTTGGGTGATTTATGCTGCTGCACAAAAGAATGGTCTACTGACGGCAACAACCAAGCAAGCGCCGAAACTTAGGCCATCAACAACAACAGTAAGCAAAAACGCATGTCAATAAAACATTTACACTTTTGTGTGTGTGGGTGTGTGTGTGAAATAAATGTGTATGTGTATATGTATTGTGTGTGAGTGCGCTGTTGCAATAATTATGATCGATGTCAAGTGTCCAAGTGCCATTTGCTTTCCGCTCCTTCAACAGCTGTGTTGTTGTACATGAAGCCCTCCAATATATACATAGAAATATGGATAGAAAGATTGTATTCTTGTACGGTCTTTTATGACTTTCGTTGGCAAACATTAGTTGCAAACTTTTGTTTTTGTAAAATACGCTAATGCGTTTACATGTACGTGCATTACAGTTATATGGCAAAAAAAAAGTTTTCATAGTAATGGTTGTCAAGAAACCCAAAGATGGACACAGAATGGGCGTTACATGCGCATCCATAGATTTTCCTATCGACTGCGGCTATTTTTATTATCGAAGTAGTTGGTTTAGTTTTACCAGATATTTATGAGCTCTACTCAGTTGTCAAGATTTACATGTGGAAGTAAAATTGTTAACTTTTGACTTATGTATAAACATATAGACATTTGAATGGATTCGGTTAGTTGGATTGGATTGAAGAAAAGCATTTTTGGGTAGACTTTCAATTAATTTTTCAATCAAACTAACTGAAAGTTTCGGTTTATTTGCTTAGAATATGATAAGATTCCCATATTGACTTGATTTTTTGAATTTTTGATAAATTAGATTTTTACATCTTGAACAGAGTATATTAAGTTGGACATGTAGTGTGTAACACCCAGAAGGAAACATTTGAGCCCCTATTAAATATATTGTATAAATGATCAGCGTGACGAGCTGAGTCGATTTAGCCATGTCCGTCTGTCTGTGATGCGAGCAAGTCCCTCAGTTTTTAAGATATGGATTTGAAATTTTACACACGTTCTTTTCTTCTCAAGCAGCTGCTTATTTGTTAAAATCGCCAATATCGGATTACTATCATTCAATCTAACCGATCAAAATCAAGTTCTCATATCAAACCCTTTTTATTTGACAAGATATCTTTCCCAAATAAGGCATGGATTAATATATCCGAACATATTGTACAGATCGGACCATTATAGCAAATAGCTGTCATACAAACTGACCGATCAAAATCCAGATAAAGACATTTATTTTAATGTTTTTAATAAGCGAAACATACTTGTTATTGATGTTTTCATTTTCAAGATCCACATTTGTACATCTCTTGCATTACTGACTCGTTGTATGTGAAGAACTTTTAAGTCAGATTCTACTCAAATGCTTAATTATAGCTGTGGAAAGTTGAAAACACACTTAAATAAAATTCTAAAACAGCGATGCACCGAAATATATATTTCCTTTTTAAGTCACCTTTCTAAACGACTTTATAGCAATA